GCTCAGAGCCTGGAGCCTGTTTCAGTCTGTGACACCCTCTCTCTCTGACCCTCCCCTGCTCACGCTGTCTCTCTCTCTCCTAGAAATAAATAAAACACGAAAAAAAAAAAAAGAAAGAAATTTTTATAAATTCATAAACTTTAGTATATTTTAATCTTTTATAGCAATTAATTCTTTTTCATACACAAACTATACCATCTTTAAACAAAGGAGCGTCATCAGATGGGCTCCTATGTCTTTCTGCTACAGCCCCACTAATCTTTAATAATAGCTCTCCTAATTTCTAGTATGACAGGATCACTAGGCTTATCTGGTATATTTCCAGGTTCAAACCTGAAGTCACCTATTTCTCCATTAGCCCTTATTCCTCTTGGCAAAAATAGCTTATAAAGCTTAAAATACTTACATTTTTTTACCCAGTTTCTGAGAATATTAGTAAAATTCTTTTACGGCACAGAAAGAAAAAACAAGCCACAAAGGGCACACATAAGTGTTAAGATCAAGCAAGCATACAAATCCATCAAGTATCCTTTGAGCAATTAAAACAATATCTTAAAGCAATAACAGGTTTGAATTATATATCAAAATAGGGTGCCCTTAACTGAAGAAACCAGGATGTCAAAAACCAAGGATATGTACAGGACAGATCAGATACATGTTAAATAATTTCAAGCTCTGGGGGACATGAAACTAGATCTTGTATAAGCATACCAACTATTATGCTTAAAAATTTAATTCATTCATTATTTTAATTTTTTTTTAATGTTTTTATTTTTTTGAGAAGCAGTGGGGTAAGGGCGGGGCGGGGGGGGTGGAGGAGGACAGAGGATCCCAAGCAGGCTCTGTGCTGACAGCAGAGAGCTCAATGTGGAGCATGAACTCATAAACCACGAGGTCAGGACCTGAGTCGAAGTCAGACACTTAACTGATAAGCCACCCAGGCACCCTAACCCATTCATTATTTTAAAATATCTGCAGGAAGCTGGGTGGCTCAGTTGGTATGGGGCCTGCTTGGGGTTCTCTCTCTCACCCTCTCTGTCCCTCCCCCATGCACGCTCTCTCTCAAAATAAACCTTAAAAAAATAAAAATATCATGTTTTCCATCCAATTCTTAGCCCAGAATATTTAATTTTCTGATTATCACTATTCTCCTTACAGTAAGTTCCAATTATAAAGTTATTACCTCCAGTAAGCTCTGAAGTTCTTCTTCCCTTATATTTAAGCAAGATACCCACTGCTCAGAAAAAGAAAGTGTGCTTTTGTTCAGAGCCTCGCATCTCTGTTCAGTCTCTTGAGATACTAGTTCCAGGTTGCTATTAAGTTTATCACAGTGCTTCACAGACTCTTCAACCAGTTTTGTACCTTCTTGGTTAAAATGTCTGAGTTCCTGTGATAAGCCATCACAATCAGCACAAAACTGTCTATTAAAAGAGGTTGTTTTGCCGATTATATCTTTAGATTTCCTATAGAAAAGGAGAATAACATTGTTAAAAATGGAAAATTAAGAGTCAAAAGATACATAACTTGCTCAAGATCACACAGTTAAAAAATGGCATATCTGAACCCAGGCAGTCTGGCTCCAGAGCCCACGTTCATAATTAATCTTCTACACTGAAAATGGATACTTCTGCAGGTGTCTCTCCACAGCAGATTGATGTATTTGCCATTAAATGGCCTTTGGAAATGTCTCTTTTCTCATAAAACCCTTCCCAGCTCTCCTCCAGGTATAATGCTTTACTTTGTATCTCTTAGAGTGATGACTATACTAAAAATACAATCTATCTATGTGCTTTATTCCTCATAGTAGATTATGTTACCTAAGGGCATCACCTACAGCCTCTACTCTAATCTCTAACGTGTCCATAATTAGTCCATCACTCTATTCTTAAGCAGTTATGCCTTGCCTATGACATTAAATCATGAAAATTATAAATGTTATAAAATAAAGTCAACTTAAGGCTTTCTAATAATTAAGAAGATTATATGGGGGCTTGACAAACTAGACACCTTGCACACGCAGCACACTGTAATATAACCTTGGTATAAAACTAAAATCCTCTTCTAGGACTAGAGTTATACTTTGGTGAATGAAAGTTACCCTCTATTACCACTAGATGGTACACCATGTGAGGAAACCAAATGAGGAAACCGCTATTTTGAAAACCAGAGTTCAACTACAGGTTAAATGGAAATGACTGAAAAAGGAAAGGAAATTCAAGTAAGAAGTTGGAGACCATCAACACAAATCTAGTCCTTCAAGCAATCACAACCTCATAGGAAGTTGAAATGCATTCATAAGTGACCACAATCCATGATAAATGCCAAAGGCATTGAGTAGGTCTCAAACTTCAGGATACATAAACCTCACCTAGATTCCTGGGCCCTACTCCTAGCTGATTCTTTGACATGGTCCCTGGACCACACTTTGATGGAAAATATCTTGAATAAATGTCAGGAAGATAGGAAAAATGGCTTGCATAGGCCTTAAAAAGAGTATATCACAGTTTCCTTCACATTTCAATCCTACACTAGTATTCTCTTCAGAGCTATGGAAGAAGCCAGAAATCTTGAAGTCTAGACACTAGGAATTAAAATGTAGGGAAACACTTTCTAGATCTAGAATTTAGAAAGAATTCAGAATGGAACATGATATAAGGAATAGGATCATCAATAGGACTGGAAAACAGATGATAGGAGTTAGGTAGTAAAACAGGTGATAGCTAGAATTCTGGAGCAGCACTGTTCTATAGAATATAATGTGAGCCACATAAGTAATATAATGTAGCCACATGAAAAAAGAAAATAGGGAACTAGGGAATGCCTGGGTGGCTTAGCTGGTTAAGCACCCAACTCGTGATCTCAGTTTGGATCTTGATCTCAGGGTTGCAAGCTCGAGCCCTGCACCGGGCTCCATGCTGGGTGTGTAGCCTACATTAAAAAAAAGCGAGGGGCGGGGGGGTGCCTGGGTGGCTCAGTCCGTTAAGCGACCGACTTTAGCTCAGGTCATGATCTTGTGGTCCATGGGTTCAAGCCTCGCACTGGGCTCTGTGCTGACAGCTCAGAGCCTGAAGCCTGCTTCTGATTCTGTGTCTCCTCTCTCTCTGCCCCTCCCCATCTCGTGCTCTGTCTCTGTCTCAAAAATAAACAAACATTAAAAAAAAAAAAAAGATAAAGCAATCAGAGTAACAGTGTACTGCGTGTATATAGCATATACAGAAGCAAAATATATGAAATATGAAAATAATGCATAAGAGATGAGGAGGAGAAATTGGGAATGTTCTGCTATAAGGTGCTTTGATTACACATGAAACAGCAAATTACTTGAAAATGAATTAACATTACTTAAAAATGTATATCATTAATCCTAGAAAAACTACTTAAAAAGGTAATTTTAAAAGTATAAATGGTAAGTCAGTGAAAGAGATATAATGAAAACATAAAAATGCTGAACTTAAATTTGGTAAGGAATAAAAGGGAAACAAAGCACAAATGATGTGACAAAAGCAAAATGATAGATTTTAATCCAACTATATCAATACTTCAAATGAGAATGGTCTAAACACCAGTTAAAGGTGATACGTTGTTAAATGTGATGAAAAAGCAAGACCCAACTATATGTTATCTCCAATGAATCCAAGTTAAATATAAAGACTTGGGCCAAAAGTAAAGGAATGAAGATACATTTTATGCAAATAGTAATAAAAGAAAAGCTACATACTAATATGTTTCAGACAAAGTAGACTTCAGGACAAGGAAGATGATCAGGGATAAAAGGGGACATTACATAATGATAAGCAGTCTATTCTTCAAGACATATCAACCTTAAATGTGTATGCATCTAACAAGAGAACATACCATATGTACAGCAAAAACTGATAAAACTGATGAGGAATAGACAAATCTAAAATTGTAGTCAGATTTCAACACCCCTCCTCTTAGTAAATGACAGAATAGGTAGAAACTCAGTAAGGAAACAGATGACCCAAATACTACTATCAATGAACTTGACCTAATTGACCTGTATAGAACACGTTATGCATCAAAAGCAGAACAAATTTTTCTCATATGGGTAGCACCAAATGAAGCATATCAGAATAACATTGCAAGGGCTCCAAAAATAAAATTGTCACTGGAACCAGAACTCACAAAAATGGGCCAGGACCTTCACACTAAACCTAAACAGAGTAAAATGCCTTCCAAAAAAGACTTAGATAGGATTCTGAATCTCCTAACATAATAACCAAAAATACAATCAACACAATACAATTACAATCTCCTAACATAATAACCATGATACAATCAAAACTATTCTGGAAAATCACAACTTGAATGAGAAAAGACAAGAGGTGCCAACACTGAGATAATTCAGATGTTGGAGTAATCTGTTAAGGATGTTATAGCAGCCTTACAAAAATGTTTCAATGAGCAACTAAAACACTTTTGGAGAAAAAAGAATTAAAATCTAGGCAAAGAAACAGAAGAGATTAAAAAAAGAAGCAAATGAAAATTATAAAACTGAAAAATCCAATAACTGAAATGAAACACCTCACTCAATGGGTTCAATAGCAGGTTAAAGATGACAAAGGAACATGAAGACAGTTCACAAAATTTACTGTCTGGACAACAAAAAGAAAATATCTATAGCCTCAGAGACCTATGAGACCATAATAAAAGATCTAACATGTGTCATCAAAGTCCTAGAAGCAGACAAGAAAGAATATGGAGCTGAAAAATCTTCAAAGAAAGGATTAAAATTTCCACAATTGGGAAAGGCATAAGTGTATATAGATTTAAGAAGCTGAGCAAATCCAGACAGGATAAACTCAAAGAAATATTTAAGACACAATATAATCAAACTTCCAAAGACTAAAGACAAGAAAACTACCTTGAAAGCAGCTACAGGGAAATCGCAACCATGCCGTTCTTGACAACTACAACTAGTCCTGAAGGCCAATCCAACTGTGGGACACCATACTAAACAAATACTCTACCCTGTTGAAAAAATAAAGGTCATGATAGACAAAGACTAAGGAACTACTCAGATTAAAGGAGATGATCAAATGCAATGTGTGATTCTAGATTAAATCCTGCAGCAGGAGGAAAATCTTTTTCTTTTCCTACTAAGAACATTAGTGAGAAAACTGGCAGAATTTGAATTAGGTCTATATATTAGATAAAAGGAATTACCAATATTAATTTTCTGATTTAAAAATTGTGTTATGGTTATATAAGAGAATGTCCTTATTTTTAGGAATACAGATTGAAGTATCTCCTACTGAAGTAGGAGACAGTGAGCATCATGCCTGCTAACTATGTACAGCTAGTTCAGAAAAGAGATTTCTAGGGGTGCCTGGGTGGCTCAGTCGGTTAAATATCCGACTTTAGCTCAGATCATGATCCCACGGATCATGAGTTTGAACCCCACATCAGGCTCTGTGCTGACAGCTCAGAACCTGGAGCCTGCTTCAGATTATGTCTCCCTCCCTCTCCCTCTCTCTCCCTCTGCCCCTTCCCACTCATGTTCTGTCTCTCTCTCAAAAATAAACATTAAAAATTTTAAAAAAAAAGAAATCTCTATATACAATATTAGAGGAGGGTGGGGAAGAGAGAGAGGTAATGAGAATGAGAAAGCAAACATAATAAAATGTTGTACATGAGAAACTGGGTTGACAGATTTGTACTGTTTGAAGCCTTCTATTCTGAAATAATTTTTGGCAGAAAAAAGATAAAGAGAATTAAAAACTGCTTACTGCTCTGTATTTTCTTGGACACTACTAAGTGGTTTCTGGATGTTTTCACACTTTTCCTCCAAGGCACAGAATCTCTCTGTCCAAAGATTGATTAACTGGCCAAGTTCCTGTAAGAAAGGTGTGGGAGAGGAAGAGGTTGAAATTTTGACATCTGAATTTTTCTTCTATACTGACGTGAAGTATTTTTCCATAGGTGAGAATTCTACAAATTCTTGACAAGAGATATTTAATTCCATCTCTTGCCCATAAAGTAAAGCAGCAGAAGTGATATTAAGAGGATAACATTAAAAGGATTTTTCAAAAAGTAAATATTAGCAAACTTTGCTATTTTAACTATTAATTAGTAGCAAGTTACTTTCAGTGTACCTCAAAACTAAGCAAACATACAAAGATGTCACATTATGTTATGAGAAGCACTTTGACAGATATACAGTGCCCAGTTGCTTCTAAACTGATAACATTACTAGAAGGGAAAAGTAATGCTGATAATCTAATGGGTCAAGCAGTCCAAAAAGAGTATTAATTACTGAAACAGAAATATTTTACAGAATCTAGCTGGATCATATTAATAAAGTATAATTTTACCTTTCCTCATACTTGGCATCTTTAAAAGTGAGCTCTTATAAGGTAAATAACATGATAGGGACTTAAATATACAATATGAAGAAGCCACACTAAGGACCCAGAAAGAGCTGAACATGCACCCGGCATTCTTATTCACTGTTTGGTCCGTTAGTTGGCCAATATCTCTAATAACACAGCAGCTGACAATATATACCCAATACTGATTATGAATAAAATCTGTCAGTATTTTTATTAGTCTCAAAGTAGAGGAAAATGCAGGTAAATCAGATTTATCTGCATGTAAATAGGTGTTCAGAGTTTTACATAATTGTTTTGTTAGTGCTAACCTCAAGTTCTAGAATATCTGAGAAATAGCTCACTTAGTAAATTAAAAAAATTTTTTAATGTTTATTTATTTTTGAGAGAGACAGAGTGTGAGCAGGGGAGGGGCAGAGAGGGAGAGAGACACAGAATTGAAAGCAGGCTCCAGGCTCTGAGCTGTCAGCACAGAGCCCGATGCAATGCTCGAACTCATAAACCATGAGATCATGACCTGAGCCGAAGTCAGATGCTTAACCGACTGAACCACCCAGGTGCCCCTTAGTAAATTTAATTTCCTTAAAGCCAAGGAAGTCAAAACATTCATGCTAAAATATTTTGGGATCATAGATATTTTGTTTCTTTTTAAACAGTTGCTCATCAATTTTAAACATTTCAAAACAGCTAATATATAAAAAGCTGTGGGGTGCCTGGGTGGCTCAGTTGGTTAAGCGTCCGACTTCGGCTCAGGTCATGATCTCATGGTTTGTGGGTTCAAGCCCCATGTTGGGCTCTGTGCTGACAGCTAGCTCGGAGCCTGGAGCCAACTTCAGATTCTGTGTCTCCCTCTCTCTCTGACCCTCCCCTGCTCACGCTGTCTCTCTTTCTCTCAAAATAAAAATTTATATATATATATGTGTATATATAAAGCTGATATACCTTAGAACATATGCCGAAAAAGTAAGACAAATTGATGCAGAGATAATGAGAAATTGCTGCAATTTCAAATTGCAAGAAATGTGTTCTAGTGCTCGCTTCGGCAGCACATATAATAAAAAATGTGTTCTAGAAACACACAGAAGAGCCACTCCAAAGTAGTTACCTCTCAGGGGCCCCTGAGTGACTCAGTTGGTTAAACGACTGACTCTTGATTTTGGCTTAGGTCACGATCTCGCAGTTCATGGATTTGAGCCCAGTATTGGGCTCTGTTCTGACAGTGTGAAGGCTGCTTGGGATTCTCCCTCCCCACCTCTCTCCGTCCCTCCCTACTCGTGGTCTATCTCTCAAAATAAATAAACTTAAAAAAAAAAAGTGGATGCCTTTCAGGCACTACAATCACCACTACTACTATCAGAGGATCTAAATACTGCTACGTGCTTTCAAGCCCTCAGTTTCATCATTAGAAAACTAGGCTACGAATGGATCAAGAAGATGTGGTTTATCTATACAATGGAATACTACATGGCAATGAGAAAGAATGAAATCTGGCCATGTGTAGTAACATGGATGGACCTTGAGGGTGTTATGCTGAGTGAAATAAGTCAGGTAGAGAAGGACAAATATCATATGTTTGCACGTATAGGAGGATTAGGAGGAACTTAACGGAGGACCATGGGGGAGAAGAAGGGGGGAAATGGTGGGGGAGAGGGAGAGAGGCAAACCATGAGAGACTCTTGAATGCTGAGAACAAACTGAGGACTCATGGGGGGAGGGGAGGAGGGGGGAGATGGGCATGAAGGAGGGCACTTTTGGGGATGAGCACTGGGTGTTACATGGAAACCAACTTGACAATAAACTATTTGTAAAAAAAAAAAAAGAAAACTAGGCTAATAACAAAACCTGTATCTCTACTGAATAAACACATAGTGAGTGGCTCAATAAATGTTAACTATTACTTTTACTAATTTCTGATGTTAATCCTTTCTCCAAAAAGTTTCATGCTTCTCAATTAGGGAAACGAATAATCTTACTTTAAAGTTGCTTTAACTCTTGCCTAAAAATCTTGGATGTGTTTCCTTTCTCCTTTTTTTTTTTAAATGTTTTATTTATTTCTAGGAGAGAGAGAGAGACAGTGTGAGCAGGGGAGGGTCAGATAGAGAGGGAGTCACAGACTGAAACAGGCTCCAGGCTGAGCTGGCAGTCAGCACCGAGACCGACGCGGGGCTCGAACCCACGAACCGCGAGATCATGACCTAAGCGAAAGTCAGACGCTTAACCGACTAAGCCACCCAGGCACCCCTCCTTTCTTCTTTCATTTCATGGATATGAATTCCCTCTTCCTCACTTTCCAAAGAAGAAGAAACCTTTATTACTCACTAACTCATATCAATAGTTTTATTGCCCAAAGAGTTCTATCTTGTAATAATAATTAGGCTCATTTAATAAAACTTTACACATTCATCACTCAGGCCTCAGGATTATCAGAAGTTGTTTTCCATATATCTGATCTTCAGAGATTATGACTTCCTTGGTTTGGAGATTTGCTTTTGGTTTAAAATCTCATGCACTGAGGAACAGTTTACATGGAAGAAGGTAACCCATAAGTTATATTTATAATCACTCAATAAAAATTAAGAACTGTATTAATTTGTTACAATTCAAATGTCTGACATCAACGAGACAGAAATAGTAAAGAGACAGTACAGCACAGCCTATGAAAGGGAATAACCATCCATGTTACCCTAGAAAAAAGCAATTTATCAAGTTATGCTACAGATACATGTTCATTGTAAATGCTATAACTATTTCCTTCTAATTGCACTCCCAAAGGTATGTTTCTGTAGTTTCATCTTTCATCTTAGTGTGATGAAGGGACTGTCTTATTTGTTTTACTGTGCTTTAGTATAGGGTTCTAAATGTAGCAAACCCTGAAATACTAACTGATCACAAAAGTATTTGTAATTATTTTGTATTAATTACTGTTATAAGCAGGAATGGCTATGGTATTTTCAGATTTCTTAAATTAGTTCTACAGCATTCAGATTACATAACAAGGATTATCAAGTTAAAGATGATAAAACTTCCTTTTTATGCTCCCCAAATCACCTAAATGAGATACCTGTGAATGGATTTTTTTTATCATCTTTAGGTCTTCAGTTAGGTTTTCACAGAGCTTCTGTGATTCAGCCAAGGACAAAATCGTATTTTCTTGTAGTTCATGTAGACTGCTACACAGCATACTGAGAAAGCCATCCATTTCCTTTTTCTGATCTTCTATCTTTGAAGGAAAAAGTTAGTTTCTTTTAATTAAAAAAAATTTTTTTGTTGTTTGTCTGGTTTTTTTAGAAAACATACAAATAGAAAAGTTAGCAAGCAGTATGTAGAGGAAGGTCTTTCTCTCTAGCCCCTGGAACCTCAATGCCATTCTCACCTCTGAGAGATGACTGCTAAACACTTTCAGAGATATTGTATACATTCTTAGGCAGATGTGCATACATAGGCACATATACATAAATATGCCTGTCTTCTCCACCCATGCATGATAGCATGCTATACATGCTGCTATGTAAACAAACATTTATCTTGAAGATCACTCTCTCTCATTTTTCTTAGCCATAATTCTGTTGGATCACATCAACGGCAGCGGGCATCCCATCTCTTCTTACCTCCAGATTCCAACTCACAACCCATGTCTTTTGCATTGTAGACAAGTGTACCCACAGATAGATGGAATTTCTTTCTTAAACAATTTGATTTTGAGAAATTAAGACTATAACATTTGTTACCTTACTAGCCACGGTCAATGAAGTCTTGAAAATATGCTTCAGTTGACTGTTGATTTTCAGTATAGACACCACAGTGGGGGATAAAGTTGTTTCTAGTGAACTTAGAAGGTCGGTCTTAAGTAGATCCTGGTTTTAAAAATAAACAAGTCTTTAAAAAAATATTTTCACTTTCATAAACCTGGATGGTTAACGATAGTATCTTAAATACTTTGTTAACACATGCAGAGTAAAATTCTAAGTTTCCATTCTCTAACCTTTATAGCCTACAGAGCCTATTTTTTTCTAGAGTCTATATTCATCATAAGTTACTTATTCCTACCTACAGTAATTAAGAAAATGGTCATGTAACATACAATAGATTCTTAACAGTCTAATGCAATAGAGGTCCAAAGAATTCAAACAATGACAATCCTCTGTTAAGACTTCAATATTTGCAAATAAAGAATTTTTTTTAAGTGGGCAAGTACACTTTAACAAAATAAATTTCAAACAAGCTTAGGTTACTAGGCAAATCGCCATCAAAGGCAGGCTTTGAGCTGGAGGTATTTAACTTTGAAGACCTGGTGACTTATGTGCTATTGTATCTGAAGAACTTGTTAAAGTTCTTGTTCTTGTCCAGGTATATGGAAAGTTGAGAATGTACCATATACCGAGGATTTTTACAAAAAGAAAAAAAAATTCTGACCTAAGCTCCCTTCACTTGGGCAGGGTGAGGAGCTATAATAGAAAAATTTAGTGAATACTTAAGAAAAAAGGCTACTGGTATTTTTTTGGAAAGAAGAGCTAACACACTAATTTCAACTCATTCTGTGGGAGCGGCCGTTATCTCTTCTGACTCAAGCAATGCTTACAAAGTGAAATATAACTTGGTAGAAAGACATCAATACATACAGCCTGGCATCTAGTATGAATCAATTTCCCAAAAGTTAGTACCCACTGAGCATCTATTAACTCTGTCAGATTGGGTGAATCTGAAGAAATATATCAAATAATGTCATATAAGCGCTGAACCTAGGCAATGTCAGCTAACATTTGTAGTGATTTACTTGGAAAATGTTCAACAAATATGGTTAGACTCCATCTAATAAATTAATAATGAAGAGAAAGCTATCATTTCTACATTGTGAATTATACAGTAAGTCTTAGGTGATTCATTTAGTAGCTTAAACACCTAGGAAATTTCACTAGTGGGCGGCAACTGGAAATGCATATTAATTGCACTCTCCATCCCACATCTGAAAAGGAGAATGTCAGGAATAGACTAATTCTGGTTTCCTTTTGAATATCATATTTTAATTTCTTTTTTCTTTAATCTTTTTAGCATTGCTTAAGGATTTGAAAGTTGCTGATTAAAGCATTTCCTCTGATTTAAAATAATAATAATAATAACAACAACATGGTTAGACTCCAAAAGGGAAGCAGAGAGCCTGCACCAAGAAGAAAACAAATAAGTGATATGGCCAAGAACTTCCTATGTATATCATACAATTACAAAATAAAGAGTATTATTCGAATCAGCTGTGAAGGAGGTAATATTAAGTATAATTAGATGTGTGGCTTCTATAGAACTATGAAAAAGAGTCTTACAGTTAAGGCCCAGAAGGGCTTGATCACACAGATCTGACTGCATAAATTGTCATATGTATTCCTAGAATTCTAACAGTTGTTTTTCTTGTACACTTTTCTGTATTTAGTGTAGTTTTAAATCAACCATCTAATATCCCCCCCAGCTGGGTCAGTTGTAACATCAGCACCACCACTGCAGAACCCTTGAGGAAGGATGATTGACCAATTTCAGACCCAACTAACAACTCATGGGTCCCTTGAATTCTTCTGGCACTAAACCTGCCCTCTCTAGTTATTGGGCTTATTAACTCCTGCTCTTAATATTACAAGATGTAAGTGAAGAAAGTCTTAAAGGTTCGTTATATGCATTTGGAAATTAATCTTTCTGGGAGAAAAAAAAACAGTGGAGAGATCTGTCTTTAAAAATAGAGAGCTACTCTTAAAGTGGTATGTTTATCACCATTTCTGGTAAAGCTTAAAATGAAAGAAAAGTTAACATTGTTTTTAAAGACTGCAAAGTAACCCTTCAAAAATAATTTAAGAGATTTACTAACAATCAATGTTTGAAGTACAGTTTTGCTTTCTGCTGCTAATGATTGTTCTTTTAATATCATATTAGAAATCTGAGAAACACGTGTAGACACATTTTCTGGAACAGACGTGAGCGATTCCAGTGCTGTTGTAGTAATTGTGTCTAATGCAGAGACACTGGAAGACAGTAGGTTACCTATACCAAAAAGAAAAAAGATATAAACTTTGACATATCGAGTTATACAGTTAGAACCACTTCAAAGAGATTGACAAAATTATATCCTTGCTGTGGAAATGTGTAATAGTAAATAAGCTTAGAATAATTGGCTCACTACTAAGAAATATAATCAAATAGAAATGATACATGTTCTACAGTACTCTGCAAGCACTCGACATGCTTGTCAGTGTAGCAGAACCACCACTACAGTTCACAGTAAGCGAAGAATCTTCCTGATCGCTAGCTAGAAGTAATCAGAGTAGTACAGTAAGTAAGTGGAAGAGGTTATAAAAGAGAAACCACAAATCAATAAACCAAACTTAGAGTGACTAGACCCCAGGTGATTTCTACAAATTTTCACATTTCTGTATCTCATGAAATATAGTGAAAATAATACTTTCATATGAAATAAACTAATGCTTAGGAGGTTTTTTCCTAAATGAAGATAGCACATGGGTATGGTTAAAACTTACTTTGTAAAGAACAGAAAACAACAACTAAAATCTATTTTTAACTCAAAAGCAGGAAAAGCACTGTTCCCTAGTCTGAGCAGACAGTGAGTGCATTGTAGGGACCAGTGACATAGTCACCCCAGTTTCTTATGATATTAAATGATCAGTTTTGAAATTAGTCTCACTAATCACACAAAGACTAGAATAATTAGAAATGCTTGAACTCGGGGTGCTTGGATAGCACAGTCGGTTAAGTATCCAACTTCAGCTCAGGTCATGATCTTGCAGTTTGTGAGTTCGAGCCCTGCACTGGGCTCTGTGCTGACAGCACAGTGCCTGGGGCCTGCTTCAGATTCTGTGTGTGTGTGTGTGTGTGTGTGTGTGTCTCTCTTTCTCTCTCTCTCTCTCTGCCCCTCTCCCCACTGACTCTCTCTCTAAAGTAAATAAACATAAAAAAGAAAAAAGAAACGCTTGAACTTACCAAACAAAGTCTTGTGAGCTTCTAGCATGACCTTTTGTTTTGAGCTGCTATCCTTAATTAATTCGTCCATCCTATTAAACAGACTATTCAGGTTTTTGCCAAAAACATCCTGAGCTTCTGCATTGTGCTGATCAATTGCCTTCTTACGATCCAGTTTGGAATGGAGACCAGATACATCTTTTGTAGTTTCTTCAACTGTGGTAAGCAACTACATATGATTTTTAAAAATAAATGTTAAGATGGATATCACAAAAGCAGACTAATAAAAATATCTGTGCTACATAAGGATTTCTCCTGACAAGAATCAGTAAGTTTCGGGGCGTGTGGGTGGCTCAGTCAGTTAAGCACCCAACTCTTGATTTTGGCTTGGGTCATGATCTCACGTGGTTAGTGGAATTGAGACCTGTGTCAGGCTCCATCCACACTGACAGCAAGGAGCCTGCTTGGGACTGACTCTCTCTCTCTCTCTCTCTCTCCCTCTCAACCTACCCTTCTACAGCTTGTACTCTGTCTCTCTCTCAAAATAAAAATATAAACTTAAAAAAAAAAACCTAAGTTTTAGTCTTTGTATCAGAATCCATTTTTAACTCACGCTAATTTCTCCAGTTGCCCAGGAATTTCCCCTCACCTAGCAACATAGGCAAGGAAGAGGGATTTGCCAACCTCATACAGTAATTATGCTCCCTCACAATTTTTTTCCTATTATGTGCTACTATTTTCTCTAATGTGCACCAAATAAAAAATTAAATACTTTCAACATCTCCCATCATTAGAAGGTGCTAAATTCTTTATAACTGATAAGTTTCAATCTTGACCAAAGGGAAAATTATCTCATTATTCTAAATGTCCTCAAAGTATATTAAAGTCATTTTCTATTTGCAAAACTTCAGGAATGTTTTTATTTTTTAAGTCAGCAGCTCTAGTGAGGAATATTCAGATGAAAAAATAGTGTTCTTTAAACTGACAGAAATGTTATTTGGGGTGAATAAGTAGAACTTCACAATTAATGCTTAAACAAAGAAAGCCACTTCTACCCATTCTCTAATTTCTTGAATGCAAGTATAAATCAAAACAAAGGACAAACCCTGCTGGCAGCATCATGAAGTTTCTCCTCAGTACATTCCAAAGCTGATGTAATATACTCTTCTTCAACAAGTTGTAATTTAGTTTCTTGTAAATGTTTCTGAGTGGTTTCAAGTTCCTGTGTCTTATTTTGCAGGTCAGATTTACACTGGTCAAGTTCATTTTTATTATCCATAAACAACTCTGTAACCTAAATATAACATATTAAATATTTTTTTTTAAGAATTACAGTGCTGAACTGATTGGACAGATACCTTCTGAGTTTGTAATGTAATGTGAGAAGAACCAAACAATTTCCATTCAAAGTTGTGACAAGCTGTAACAAGCTAAAAGATAGGTTAGCACATTTTATATGACAGCTGGTTTCTTCCTGTAAATTCATTAAAAACCTTGAGATGAAATAATAGGTCTAGTGTAGTGGTGTTAGTTCTTCAGGTTCCTCCCAACACTGACAATGTGAGGGGTGGCACAGAAAGAAGGGTCAGATCTGTCCACCTTAGTTATTCAACATCTGGTTTCTCCTAGTATCTGCAGTCCCTCACTGATAAACACAGTAATGAAAGTGTCTCCGCATTCACTATTTACCTTTTATAATAAAACCACAGAATTCAGTTAATTTCTTATAATGCTGCCTTGATATAAGTGGCAAACAGCATCTTCATCACTGATGACAGTAAAAATACAATACAACTGACAAAGAGTCAGCAAGAAAAAAAAAATCTTAAGGAAAAAGATCAGGGGCACCTGGGTGGCTCAGTCAGTTAAGCATCTGACTTCAGCTCAGGTCATGATCTCATGGTTTGTGGGTTCAAGCCCCGCGTCGGGCTCTGTGCTGACAGCTCAGGGCCTGGAGACTGTCTTTGTATTCTGTGTCTCCCTCTCTTCCTGACCCTCCCCTGCTAATGCTGTCTCTATCTCTCCCTCAAAAAAATATAAAAAACATTAAAAAAAATTTTTCTTTTTTTTAAAAAAGAAAAAAAGATCAGATGGTGCCTGGCTGGCTAAGCAGGTAGGGTATATGACTCTTGATCTCAGGGTCATGAGGTCAAGCCCAACACTCGGCATGGAGCCTACTTAAAAAAAGAAAAAGAGAAAGGGCACCTGGGTAGCTGTTGGTTGAGCATCCAACTCCTGATTTCAGCTCAGGTCATGATCTCACAGTCGTGGAATTGAGCCCCACATCACTCAGTGTAAGCCTGCTTGGGATTCTCTCTCTCCCCCTGACTGCCTCTCCCCCGCGCACACATTGTCTCTCTCTCAAAACAAAGAAAGAAAACATTAAAGAAAAAAAAAAGAAAAAACATGGCTTGTCTGAACTGAGATATACAGATGAAGCACACAAAGAATTTCAAAGACAGTACAAATTAAAAGAATGTAAAGAAAAAAAAGGAGGGGCAGGCACCTGGCTGACTGTGTCAGTAGAACATGTGACTTTAGATCTCGGGGTTTCAGGGTTGTTAAGTTCAAGCCCCACAATGGGTGTAGTCATTACTTAAAAATAAAAAACCTTGGGAAGGGGCACTCGGTGGCTCAGTCAGTTAAGCATCTGACTCTTGATTTCAGCTCAGGTCATGGTTTCATGGTTCATGGGTTTGAGCCCTTCATCAGTACACAGCCCACTTGAGATTCTCTGTCTCCCACTCTCTGCCCCTCCTCTACTCACTCAAAATTCAATTAAAAAAACATTAAAAAAATAAAAATAAAAATTCTTGGGGCATCTGGGTAGCTCAGTCAGTTGAACATCTGACTCTTGACTCTTGATTTTGGCTCAGGTCACAATCCCAGGGTCATGGGATTGAACCCTGCATTGGGTTCTGTGCTGGACATGGAGCCTGCTTGAGATCCTCTCTTTCTCCCTCTCCCTCTGCCCCTCCCCCACTCACTCATGCACACATGCACTCTCTCCAAAAAAAAAAAAAATCTTAAAAAAAACAAAGAAAAAAGTAAAAACATCAGGTTCCTCACACTGTGAAATTTTCTTTTAATATGTGCTTCCCAGGTAACATTCAATACTGTTTTAAATGCTTACCCGACTTAGCTCCTCCTCAACAGCACCAATTTTTTCAATCAGTTCCACAATCTGTTCTTCTTGGACAGTTAATTTTCCACTCATGGCTCTAAAATAAAATTTAATGTAAGTTTAACAGTTAATATTTTTTCCTAATTCCTTTAAAATGTATCCTAACACAATTGTGGCAGTTCTACATCATCTCTACCATTTATCATCATGATAATGATGCCTAGGTGTCAATAACCAATAAATACAAATTACAAAAAACAAATGTATTCCTTGTCCTTGTTTCATAAAAGGGCTGTTCTTCTTGTTATCTCCATTTTGAAAATAAGAATCCCTACCTTTGAGGAAAAAAAAGCATGTGTATACATAAAATTTGAGATGCTACAAAGCTGACCAAGGACTATAACTCACATAAAGTGAGGGGAGGGGGTACAATGCAAGTGGCTGCAATCAGGAATATGGAGTATAAATAGGACCCGCAGAATCCAGGAAAGGCTTGGGATGCGAAGGCATCAGGTGTCAGAGGAAGAAGGGATGAGATAAGGGGCTAAAACCTGGAGAAGTGAAAAAGTGTATATACAGAACAATTACACCTTTTGTCCCTTGCACACAAACCCTAGGATACACCGAACACACACCACCATCACACCACCACATAAATCTTCATGAGATGGAAGGGTTATCCTCTATAACACAGTTCCCCAGTCTCAGCACTACTGTCATTTGAACCAGATGATTCTGGCCCACTTTAATGGGTCTCTGATTTCTTAAGCATTAGCAAGTTTCAGAAGTGAATGCCATCCCTTGTAGCCTAGTTCCTTCATAACTACCAACAATTTTCCATTCCACACTGTGCTGAAATGACAAAGATATTTTTGCGAGTGCAAATTTCCTCAAATTATTAGCTAAAGATACTGGCGATTCAAGAAACAGCTAAAACTGAGGTATAAGAGGAGAGTTAATTCTGACAGTCTTTCCATTAACTATGTTAGCTCTTTATTGGAAATAGCTCTTTGATGTGAATGAGATATTTGAAATGCTTTCTTATATTGAATGTTCATGAGGTAATGCAACATTTGTTATTTCATGGATGATATGGTTTTGACAGTTTTAAAAGATCTATTAAGCTAGGAGTAAATAAAGCATTATCTTGTTTTAAATGGTGGCTGCAGCTTTCATAATCCTCTTCTGACTTACAGTGTAGTAATTCCAAAAGCATGTTCAGAAAGAACATTGCTTCCAATTATGCCTCATGTTTATTAATAGCAAATACTGTCTTTTTAATCATGGGACTGGGAAACTAAAAATTCATTTATTATTTATAATTTTATAACTAAAATTATTTCTTAATTTAAAATACATCAGGGGCGCCTGGGTGGCTTAGTCGGTTGAGCGTCCGACTTTCGCTTAGGTCATGATCTTGCGGTTCGTGGGTTCGAGCCCCGCGTCAGGCTCTGTGCTGACTGCCAGCTCAGAGCCTGGAGCCTGTTTCAGTCTGTGACTCCCTCTCTCTCTGACCCTCCCCTGCTCACGCTGTCTCTCTCTCTCTCTCCTAGAAATAAATAAAAAAACATTAAAAAAAAAAAATTTTTTAAAAAAAAATAAAAAATAAAATACATCAAAGTGATGGTCAACAGAAGATAAACAAATGGGACAATCAGTCTATAATGTCGAATGTTTGACTACTGACAGCAGAAGATGCTACATGAGCAAATCATGGGACAAAACCACTTATTCACTGGTTGCCTACTAAGCACCTATCTCCAGCATCCACGTTTCCTTTGGGAAAGGACCCTCCCTTGACTGTACAGCACCCAAGCTGTGTGGAGGGAATGTGACTCCATTCTCAGATCCAGGGACTAAGCCTGACTGCTCAAGATAATCAGGGAAATTCAACTCCTTTGACAGTTGTTGGTTCAGACATGGATACAACTCAAACCTAACCTAATCAATAAGCGATGTTTTCCCCCAGTTCTGATAGTTACAGGCCAGGCAGCCTCTGACTCACATGGGACATGAATGAGAGCAGTAGCTACTCTGGGGCTGACCATTAACCATGCTGAAGAACCCACCTTAGGAGAAAGCCACCGCTTAGGACAGGAGTGAGGACAAAACAGGTTCCTTGAGCTACTAGATTAACTAACTTTGAAGCTCATTCTACCCCTTGCTGTTTTAAGACAGTTTAAACTGGGTTTTCTAGCAACCAAAAGCACTGTGATACCAAATTTAAAATATAAAAAGTGGTTACTGAATAAGAACTAATGTGTAAAAGATATAAAGTGGTAGAAATCAAGACACCCATAAAGTAAACAATTGAAAAATAAAATGCTGTAGTGTGTACAAGAGCGGTATACCTAAAAGTCAGATAAACAGAAGGGAAAAAAAAAGAATAAAAAATACCGCATCTAAGAATTAAGTGCAAACTTACAAAGGAGTTTTGGAAAAATGTTTTGCCAAGTAGGTACAGGATATGAAAAAACCTGGGTGGCTCAGTCGCTTAAGTGTCCAACTTCGGCTCAAGTCATGATCTCACGGCTCATGAGTTCAAGCCCTGCATCGGGCTCTGTGCTGATAGCTCTGAGCCTGGAGCCTGCTTTGGATTCTGTGTCTCCCTGTCTCTCTGCCGCTCCCCTGCTGGCATGCTTGCTCTCGCTCTCTCAAAAATAAAGAAACATTGAAAAAAATGTTTTTTAAATAAAAAATAAAAAAATAAACTAAACAAAACCAAGGTAGCACAGAAAGAAGAATACCATTTAATAGACTGTGATAGTCATACAATGCAAGTTTGAGCATTTGTAGTGTATGAGCCAATCAGGAAGACATAGTACATTATGACAACTGAGAATAACATGGAAGAAAATGAGTTCAATTAAATGATCTACATGCTATCACAATGATCACATAATGTAACAATATATGTATCATCTGTAAAAAAAAAAAAAAAGTTGTGTAAAAGATTATGCTAAAATGCTTTCTATTATCAATTAGCCCTAAATACCTTTTATCATTAATTTTTGAAAAATGCCCTGTGAAAGTCACCCTCCTTAACACCTTCAAGGATACATGCTATCAGGAATTTTCAACTTATAATTGTTAGCATCCCTCTTGTCTTCTGCTCCTTATTTAACCTGTTGTTATTGTTTCTAAATAAAGTTTCACTATGTTTCCTTTGAACTACTCCAGGGCTTTTAAAAGTGAACAGATTAGTGGTTGTCAGAGGTTAGGGGCCAGTGGGGAAAAAGGATAGGGTATGATTTCAAAGAGGCAACAAGAGGGAGATCTTTGTAATGGTACGATACTCCGTATCTTAATTGTAGAACTACACGAATCCACAAATGAGACTAAATGGCATCAAATTAAACATGCACCTTGCACCAATGCCAATTTCTCGGTTTTGACATTTTACTAAAGTTAAGCAAGAGGTAATGAATGGGGGAAAGAAATGCAGTGAAAAATATATGGGACCTCTCTGTAGTTTTCTTATAACTTCATGTGAATCAATAATTATTAAAAAATTATATAAAAAATGTTTAAACTTGTTTGAGAACTACTTGTTAACGTCAAAAGAAAAAAGCATTTATAGGAGGCACGAGAGATATAAAAACTTTAATGTCCCCTAAGTAAATTTTACTTCAAACACCTTGTTACCAGAAAATGATTATTCTTGGAAATTAATTTCTATAGCCAAGGGCTTACCTAAAATTTTCTTCAGAAATGTAGACCCCATTTTTCTCACGGGCTGCAGCAAGATCCCGTTTCAGACGCTCTATCTCTTCTGTATATTCCTACACAAGAAGAATGTTGTGGGTGTCAATTTAGCATATAACTCTTTCTTCATTCAGTTTTTGGAGGATATATATATATGTGTGAGTATATATATATGTGTGTGTATATATATGTGTGTGTATATATATGTGTATATATATATATACCTCAAATAAAACATGAAGTTAGCCCTTCAATTAAAAAACAAACACAACTGGGTTGCTTGGGTGGCTCAGTCAATTAAGTGTCTAACTCTTGATTTTGGCTAAGGTCATGATCTCACCATTCGGGAGTTTGAGCTCCTAGGTGGGGCTCTGCATGATAGCACAGAGCCTGCTTGGGATTCTCTTTCCCTACCCCTCTCCCCATCAAAAGTAAATAAACTTTAGTAAATAAATACATACACACGTACATACGTGTTCCAGGAAAAGGAACACAAGCCAGACTGGGAGGAAATACTTACTAATTATCTCAAAAAGGGCTTGTATCTAAAAGATATGAACTACTCTTTACCATTTAATAAGAATACCAACTAAAAGTTGGGCAAAGAATATGGGTAGTCTTTACACAAAAAAGATAATACAAATGGATAATAAGCGTGTGAAAAGATACTCATTATCATTATTCACTAGGGAAATGCTACTTAAAACCACACTGAGGTATAATTATACTCTTATCAGAATGGCTAACATTAACAAGATGGACTATGGACTATAAGCAAGTGTTGGAGAGGATGTGGAGAAACTGCAACCCTCACAGATTGGCTGCTGGGGAAAACTGAAAGTGGTACATCCACTTTGGAAAAGTTTCTTACAGATTAAAAATAAATTTACTGTGCAACACAGAAATTAAACTTCTAGGTATTTACTTAAGAGGACTTAAAACACATCAAAACCAAGACTGTACACTAATGTTCACAGAAGCATTACTGGAAATAATCCAAATGTCCACTGGCTGGTGAATCGATAAGCAAAATGTGTTAATATCCACTTAATGGAATACTATTCAGCAGTAGAAAGAATCTATGGATACACACTACAACACAGATGAAGCCCAAATGTTATGGCAAGTGAAAGAAGCCGGATGAAGACCAATATTATATGATTCCATTTATAAAAAATATCTGTAAAAAGCAAATCTACAAACTAAAAGTAGATCAGTGGTTGACTGTTTGCAAAGGGGAACTTTATAGTGATAGAAATTTCCTAAACCTAGATTGTAGTGATGTTGCAAAACTCCATAAATGTACTAAAAAATCCTTGAATTGTAGGCTTACAATGGAGGAGTATTATGGAAATTTTACTCTAATGTCTGGTAATTATGTCATATTAAGGTATGGTGATTATACCCTAATGCTGTAAATAAATAAGTTTCATAAATGTAAGTAACTGCAAATTTTGCTGAATTGATAGAGCTAGAAAGTCAATATATTAGCATTAGAAAAAAAATGTTAATATATTAGGTAGTTAATTAAAATCATTAGATGAAAAGTCTTAACCATAGGCAATTTAACAAATCTTTTAACAATTACCTGTTTCAGGTCCTTATTTTCACATTTGCCAAATAAGATTACATTACTCCACAAAATTCACAATTACCTTAATAAGAGCTCTTTTGGTGAGTTTCTGGTTAACTTCAGGCTTATTTAGTATGTTCTTTGCTCTATGAGCATATTCCAATGTACTCAGAGTTTCCTGTGAAGAAAAGAAAACATCAACTACTAAAAATATTATGAGAATAATGTAGATCTGTTATCTAAAAGGTACTATAAAATAACTTACAAGAAATAATCTATGGTTATATCTAATCTAAACATCTATTCAGGGGCGCCTGGGTGGCTCAGTCGGTTAAACGTCTGACTTGGGCTTAGGTCATGATCCTACAGTTCATAAGTTCAAACCCCACAACAGGCTCTGTGCTGACAGCTCAGACCGTGGAGCCTGCTTCACATTCTGTGTCTCCCTTTCTCTCTGCCCCTCTCCTGCTTGTGCTTTCTCTATCTCTCAAAAATAAATATTAAAAAAAAAAAACCTCTGCCAGGAAAGCGGAAGACAATTTTTCCAGTGGCATCCTCCTCTATGTGCAGGTGTGCAATACCCAGGTTCTTTTTACTCTCACATAGAATGAATGAAGCCAATTAATGAACTTTTAAACTATGTGACAACTAAGTAAGAATTACACTTACTACACTTGCAGATACCTTTCAAAGGGCTTACCTCAAGATTGAGGGATGCAGGAGAAATCGTTGCAATTATAGATGTTCTTGTACGTCCTCCAAGGGAATCCTGGAGGATTCTAGTTAGTTTAGATTCTCGATAAGGAACATGAGGTGTTCTTTCTACAAGAGCAGTAATAACCCTTCCCAAAGTCAAAAGGGACTGATTGATATTTCCAGCTTCCCGAGCTCTCTTGTCAACTGCACCAGAACGGCCAATGTTCTCACTTCCAGCAAGATCAACCTTGAATTTCAAAAATAAAAATAAGTTGTCAGTTCCATTGGATTTGGACACAAAGACTTTCATTCCTGTATATATTAAATAGCCAACAAAATAACTTTTCTATAATTGACAACCCACTATAAAACTGATAATCTAGTGACTACAAATATATCATCTAGAAATATAAAATTTCGAGCTGCTCTATGAGTGGTCAAAAATGAAACAGTTGAAAAGAACTACCATATGATTCAACAATCCCATTTCTATGAATATTATCCAAAGGAAATGAAATCAGTGTCTCAAAGAAGTATCTGCACTCCCATGTTCAATGCATTATTCACAATAGTCAAGATATGAAAATAATCAGCGTCTGTTGATGAATGAATGGAGGAGGTGTGTGTGTGTATATATATATATATATATACACACACACACACACATATATATACACACACACACAATGGAATATATTTTCAGTCATAAGAAAGAAGGAAATCTTGCCATGTGCAACATGGATGAACCTGGAGGACATAATACAAAGTGAAATAAGCCAGAGAAGGCTAAAGACTGCATGATCTCATTTGTATGTAGAATCTGAGGGGAAAATAAGAAAGTTCACTGAAACAGAGAGTAGAATGATAGTTACCAGAAGCAAGAGAGTGGGGGAGAAGGAGATACTGGTCAGAGGGTACAAGTCTTCAGTCATTAAGATGAATTCAAGTTCTAGGGGATCTAATGTACACTATGGTGACTATAGTTAATAACACTGTAGTGTAGAGTATACTGTACTGTAATAATATTAGGTGACCCACTAGGGCACCTGGGTGGGTCAATCAATTAGGCATCTGACTTAGGCTCAGGTTTGGTTAACCTCACAGTTCGTGAGTTCAAGCCCACGTCAGGCTCTGTGCAGACAACTCAGAGCCTGGAACTCACTTCTGATTCTGTAACTTCCTCTCTCTCTCTCTGTCCTCTGCCACCTGCACTCAATTTCTTTCTCTCTTTCTCAAAAATAAACATTAAAATAAAATTTAAAATAATAATACTATACCGAAATTTACTAGGAGAGTAGACCTAAGCATTCTCACTACCCAAAAACAAACAAACAAAAAAAGGTAACTATGTGAGATGAAAAGATATGATAATTAATCTGATTATGGTAATCATTTCACAAAGCATATGTTTATCAAATCATCACATTGTACACTTTAAATATATAATCTTTTTTTCTTTAACTTTTTAATCTTTACTTTTTGAGAGAGAGAGGGAGAGAGACAGAGTATGAGCAGGGAAAGAACACAGAGAGAGGAAGATACAGAATCCGAAGCAGGCTCCAGGCTCTGAGCTGTCATCCCAGAGCCTGACATGGGCTTGAACTCACGAGCCATGAGATCATGACCTGAGCTGAATTTAGATGCTTAACCGACTGAGCCACCCAGGCGCCCCTTTAAATGTATAATCTTATTTGTCAATTATTCCTCAGGAAAGCTGGAGGAAAAAAAAAGAATGAAACAATATAGTTAAGGTAGATGCTTACCAAGTTCAACTTTCCAATTTTAACAAGCTCCTCTCCATCAATTGTAGTTTCTTTCATATGTATTGTAACAGAGAAAACTGAGTGGGAACGACTAGAAAACAAGATCAGGTTGCCCAATCATTAGAACATAAAATATTATTTGCTTTCTATAAAATACTGAAAACTGCAAAGAAAGATCAAAATCCACAAGGTAGAGAAAGGTAGTAACAGACAGGAGACGTTAAGATTTTGGAAGACGGAGGGCAGATAAAACAACGGTTAGGTTTTTGCTTTCTTGTACTTGCTGTCTGCAGAGGAGACACCAATAAGAAACTATCTGTGAACACCTAATAGACTCAAGAACTAGAATCCTCAGACCTCTAAAGCTGGATATGGAGTAGGACTGAGACAGCTGCCTGGGACGCGAGAGGAGAATTCAGATCTACTATATACAGGAACCTCTTGAATTATATCATTACCATAAATTCAAACAGCACCACACAAGCCAGAGGTTACTTGCTTTAAATTATTGCCTGTTGTAAAAGTACATTGCTATGCTTTGACAATGCCATCAGAAATAGTTAACACCCTCTCCTGAGAAGCAGAAATGATAAATAGCAGTGATTACCAAAACACTACAAGATAATCACCAGTAGACCATAAAGTGTTCCAAAGTCTATCTTATGCTATGTACTCACATTCAGCTTTTATCTGAAGGGCACAGAAATTATATAGACAACCCAGACAGCTTTCCTTCCTATATCAATGCCATTTGGTGAACATCATTATGTTTATGTCACTGATGGTTGGTAGAGAATACGGAAACTTTTAATCTTCATATTTGTAGTTTGCATGCTACTTGGAAAATTTTAAAGTAGTATATTTAAAAAACATTTTTTAATGTTTATATTTGAAAGACGGACAGAGAACAAGCAGGGGAAGAACAGAGAGAAAGGGACACAGAACTTGAAGCAGGCTCCAGGCTCCGAGCAGGCAGCACAGAGCATGACACGGGGCTCAAACCCACAAACCGGGAGATCATGACCTGAGCTGATATTGGTGCTTAACCAACTGAGCCATGCAGGCGCCTCTAAAAGTATCATATTTTATTACTTAAAACTACAGAAAAGGGGAAAGACATGGGAAAAATATAAGCAAACTAGAGATTTGAATTACAACATACATTTCATACTTTTCTACCATTTTTACCCATTCCTAATCCAAGATTATGGATTTAATACAATTAAACATAGAAGTCAACGCTGATTTTAGAAAACCAAATTGCTTTCCTTCACTTTACCACATTTATAAAAAGATCTTTACTTCAGTCTACATACAAAAAAAGGAGTCCTAAATTACATAAATTAATGAAAAAATAAGAATTTATTTCAAAGAAAGGTATTTACAGAAAAGAAGAAATATTACCTAGTCTTTTTTTTTTTTTTAATGTTTTTTATTTATTTCTAGGAGAGAGAAAGAGAGAGAGAGAGACAGCGTGAGCAGGGGAGGGTCAGAGAGAGAGGGAGTCACAGACTCTGAAACAGGCTCCAGGCTCTGAGCTGGCAGTCAGCACAGAGCCCGACGCGGGGCTCAAACCCACGAACCGTGAGATCATGACCTAAGCGAAAGTCGGACGCTTAACCAACTAAGCCACCCAGGCGCCCCGAAATATTACCTAGTCTTAAACTCATTCCTCCAAATCCTACATAATTTTTTTAAATGGGAAGTTGTTATAGGGAAACTTAATTAAAATTATAAAATCAGGGACACCTGGCTGGCTCAGTCAGTAGAGCATGTGACTCTTGATGTCGGGGCTGTAAGTTCAAGCCCCGTGTGTGGTATAGAGATTAAAAATAATCTTTTTCTTTTTTTCTTGAGAGAGAGAGAGAATGCACATGCGAGCAGGGGAGGGGCAGAGAGACAGGAGGACAGAGGATTGAAAGCAGGCTCTGTGCTGACAGAGCGGGGCTCAAACTCATAAACCATGAGATTGTGACCTGAGCCAAAGTCAAAAACTCAACCAACTGTGCTAACCCAGGCACCCCTAAATACATATATTTTTTTATAGAGTTGTAGAAATTTCTAATTATAAGGAAGCAAAGAAATAAGAGATCTAGTTGTTGTTTTTTTTTTAAGTTTAATTTTTCAGGTAATCTTTACACCCAATGTGGGGCTCGAACTCATGACCCCAAGATCAAGCGCAGCACATTCTCCCAATTGAGCCTGCCAAGTACCCCAAGATCTAGTTCTAATAATCATTTTGTACGTCAGGGAAACTGATAGATAAGTTCACTTGTTTACCTGAAGTCACATGTTTGGTTAACTGCAGAACTAGAACTAAACACCAATATCTAACTGCCAATCCATAGCTCCTATAATTACACTCTAATGCTTCCTGCAAAGACCAGCAGAAAAAGAAATCACCTGACTCGATACACTGCTTTTCTAGAATTTGGGATTCATCATATAAGGGGTGCTATCAAATATGCCCCTTCCTACCCCGGAAAGCCAGTGTTAGTAACCATGTATTTCTACATTAAAATGAAGGCATCTGAAAAAAGTGTTCATAAATCATGTTGTACAACCTAAATACATATAATTTTTGTCAATCATACTGTAATAAAGCTGGGAGAAAAAATTAAATGAAGCTATCTGACTTTCTTCTAATCCTTATTTAAATCAGGTGCTTTGTTTTAAGTATCCATTTGGGTCCCAGAAAAGTGCTGAGGGAAAGCCTTCATGAGGCTAAGGAGGTAAGCCTCTGAGCATCCCACCCCCAAATCAACTACAGCAGCCACATTATCAGCAATTTATCAAAGCTCTCCTATATGATTTCAGCTGAGAAAAAATAATCTACTTTAAAAAATTTAAAACTTCTGCTCTAATTCAACTTGTCTTTGTTCTCCTTTCAGTATTCTTCCAACACTGGTGCTGCCCTATAAATCTCAAATCAATTACTAAAGCATGAAATCTAGCATACATTTGACTAGGATACATGTAGCATACATGTGACTCACATACCTTGAACTCATCCTAATTTGACATCCTCCATTAAAAAGAAAATGGAGCAGTGGGGGGAAGACCATGGCTTTCTTACCTAGAGTATGCATTCATCAAAGTTGCTGCAGTTGTCCTTTTTGCTGCCCCCTTCTCCAAAATTTGATAGACTTCATTCTTGTTGTGCACTGTAATTTCTTCTAAACCTTTGATTATCACCCCCCTCTGACCAAATATGAAAAGAGCATCCATCAGATTGGTAAAATATATACATACTGGCTTCTCAAAGCATCACATTAAAACCTGGAGACATTTCATTCTCAAAGACTGAGTTACCTTGTTACGGGGATCATCAAACATCTGTAGTCTCTCAGAAACATCAGAAGATGGATTAAGGAGATCAAAAAGTTCTTCATTATAGATTTCTAACAGAGACACTTTGACTGAAAATTCAGTACCATTATCAGTAAGTTTCTCAAAAATTTGATGAAGAGTACGTGGAATTATACCAGCCAAGGGATCCTGAAATCATAATATTAATAATAAAATAAAGGAAGAATGCCATCCATTTACTATGGCAGTTAAAGCACATATAACAAGAGATTCCTTTATGATATATTTAAACACAAATATGTCAAAACAAGTTTTAAAAAACTAACATTATTAGAGAAGCCAAGTATTTTTACAATTTATTCAACAGTATTCTTTTTCATACCTTCCACAAATCTGCCCTACCGATCAGCCACTTCATGCCTGACCATTACGTAGAACCAACCATACTAAGTTACTTACAAAACCAAGTTTAATAATTCTAACTTTTCTCACGAGAACATACTACTACTACGTTAACAGAAAAATGGCCCCTGTAACAATATATTCCCTAATTCTAACATAAACACAGTTTTTCAAATATTTAAGCATCTTTTATAAAAGTGTTATAAATCTCCAAATTTTGAAACTGTACTTTAAGCCTATTCCTTATTTCCTGTGTTTACAATCCCATAACTTCATTATCCATGCTCCAATTTAATGCCTCAACAATGAAACCACTAGAAAAATAGGATCAACCTAAATGTTAATAATTTGGAAAAATAAGTTAGTCATTAAACTCACTTAAACAGGGGCGCCTGGGTCAGTTAAGCGTCCAACTTCAGCTTAGGTCATGATCTCAGTTTGTGAGTTCGAGGCCCACATTGGGCTCTCTGCTGTCAGCATGGAGCCTGCTTTGGATCCTCTGTCCCTCACTCTCTCTCTGCCCCTCCCCTGCTCTCTCTCGCTCTCTCTCTCTCTCAAAAATAAATAAAATAAACATTAAAAAAAAATTCAAACACACTTGATGGAAATCTTTGTGAAATGTACTATGTGCTTTCTACACTATCCAACAACACAGTGATCTTAATTTCTTGAACACTCAAGGTCATCATTGATAAAGTACCATGCTGCCACTTGCTATGATAACTTAATAAGACTCAATCCCATGCTGCAGTCTTCCCTTTCAAGCCCTACTCACATGCCTCTTTTCCATGATATTTTTTAATTAAAAAATGGTTTTTTAATGTTTGTTTATTTTTGAGAGAGAGACAGAGTGTGAGCAGGGGAGGGGCAAAGAGAGAGGGAGTCACAGAATCCTAAGCAGGCTCCAGGCTCTGAGCTGTCAGCACAGAGCCCGACACAGGGATTGAACTCACAAGCCATGAGATGATGACCTGAGCTGAAGTCGGATGATCAACCAACTGAGCCACCGAGGCGCCCCTCCACCATATTCTACTTAAACTATTCTGTCTCAAACAGATCCCTCTCTTATCATTAACTGTGCCAAATGTATTAATTCTTTCTCTCCCAATGAGACTATGTTTCTTAAACAGGACATACCATACAGCTTATCCTATATTCATGTTTGATGTGGTACGCTGATTTTCTCTATTTCAAGAAAGAGGCCTTCAACCAAGTTATATTCAGTTATATTTCAGCCATTTTAGAAATAGAAACCTAATATAAACAATAAATACCTCCTCCCAAGTGTACTCTTCATTCGGTGACCTCTCACCTTCCATTGTAAAGGTTTTTCCAGTGCCAGTTTGGCCATACCTGTCAAAATTTTAAAAACTGTTTAAAAAAATACATGCATCTAAACTTTTTCATCAATTTGAAAAATAGTGTTTCACTCACGCAAAAATAGTGCAATTGTAACCCATAATAACTTCATCCAGAATTGGACAAACAACACTTCGGTAAACATCAATTTGTTTAGTAGACGCTCCAAAAACCTATCAAAGAAAAAAAAAAAAAAATATATATATATATATATATATATATATTAGAGCAATTCTTCGGGGGGAAAAATGTCAAAATTACTCAACTCATTCAGCCCACTAGAAACCATTTGACAGCTCAAAGAGTCAACTGAAACTTGGAATTGACACTAGAACCTAGAGGAAGTATGTAT